TTGTGCCTTGCCTCAGGCCCAGAGCAATGGAATCTGCTGACCAGGGACTGAGACCTCTGAAACTCTGAGCCCCAAAATAAACTTTTTCCCCTCTAAGATGTCCTTGTTAGGTATTTTGATCAAAGTGATGAAAAGCTGATTAACATAAGTTTATTTATATTGGAACATTATAGCCTGGTGTAGGATTTGATATCTTTGGAATATGGAATCTTGAAAAAATTAGTAGTCCCCACTAAATTAAGTATAAATTTCAGTACTGCTATGTAGATATAAAAAAAAAGACTCAGAGATTTATCGATTTGAGCATGATACAGTGAATATATCAAGTCACATCCAGAAACATCATCATCTTACTGTCTTGGAATGGTGTGGAGGACATTCCATTGAAGTAATGAGAACATGCAGATAACTGAGACATGAGAATCATTAAGAAGCTCAGTGATGACCGTCCTCTGTAGAAAAATATTGATGGACAGGAAATGCTATTAGATAATTGGGCTCTCTTCTTAAAGAAGAGGTGACAGTATCTCAAAATAATAGAGGCTAGGAACTTTGTTGACATATGAAAGCTGGGCACAATTATCTTAATGAACCGCTAGTTTATGCATTCAGGACTCCAGATTTACAAACATCTATGAAGACTGTTAATAGGACACATCACTCCTAGGGACAAATTACATGGATGGCTAACAAAGTATTACATAATCTATAAAATTAAAACAAATCAAAGACACATGATCAGGAGACTGAACATAGTCATCTAATAACTCCTGACTCCTTTTCTACTTTCTGAAGCTGAGGCAATTTTCATACTTTGAACTCATTGACTAAGGGCAAATAGATCACTGGGAAGAACTTTGAAACACCACTTCAAGTACATCTAGTAATGTTCTAAGTTCTTTCTATAAGAAACATATACCCATTTACTGATATATTCATAAACTGGGGAAAGGGTACTCCTGAAACATATTGAGGACTGTCATACACAGGATCCAAGGTGACATGGATATCTAAGATTCTGTAGTGGGCATGATGCCATAGGATTATTTTGTCATAGTATATCTTACATCACCTAAAAATTCTAGCTTAAGAGAATAGTAGAATGATCTTTTGAAAGGGCAAATGAATCTTGCAGATATAATGTCTGGTGAAGAAAGGGTGCTATCCTCCATGATGCAGTTAAGTCCTAAAGTATTGACCATTATTATATGAAGTTTTCTTCTTTTTATGTAGGATATATAGGTCCAAGAACCAAGGAGTGACCTCATTTACTACCATCACATCCAATGACCCACTTGGGGAATCAGTGCTTTTCTTCCCGCAATTCTGAGTTCTTCCAGTTTAGCAGTCCCAATTCCCAGAAAGGGAAAAAGCTTTTAAATGACACAGCAAGATCCCCATTAATCTTTAAACCATGGCTATTACTCAGTTACTTTACATTCGTGTTTCACAAAGCAGTAGATAAGAAGAGTCACTCTCATTGAAGAAATATGTAGTTTATAGGAGCTGCTGGTGGTAGGACTGTTGTTACAAGGTGAGGCAGCAGTGAAGAATGTATGTAATACCCTATTGATACACTAAGCCATTTGTTGTTATTTTCTTAACTGATTTTGTGGGTAAACCAATCAGTGTGTGAGCCATGGCTTGAAAAAGATGTGGTGACCAAGATTTTAAATTTCTCATGACAAAGCTCCTGTAACCCCATTAGGGCATCTACCTATAGCACAAGATGTACTATCCCAACATGTGTGCAATCTAGAATGCTAATTGTAGAAGGAGATGATGAATATCGTCTGACCAAATTTTTTTTTTTCTGAAAGTCTCCCCAGGAATGGAGACTGACCAGAATCCTGAACTAGTTTTTCCTAGATAGAATCATCAAACCTAACAGGTAGATTAGAGTGAAATGTTATAGTGCACCTGCCATATTCCCTCCTCAGCCCTTACTCATCCAGTCGCTGGGACAATTAGGCTGTTAACTAAGTTCCTTTCTAGAAATAGCCCTACCCAAACAGAGATTCCCTTTCCAATGTCCTACCCCCTAGTGGGGAGCACCAGTTGATTCAACAGGAGCTAAATCTGTGAAGGCTTAGAGCTCCCTTGCCTCAGGGCAGGACAACTCTAAGGGCATTGAACAAATCCAAAATTTCTTCCAGAGCTAACCAGACACTTTTTGCAACTGTAGTACAGCTTAATCCCTCTCATGACCAGTCCTCCTCCCTTCACTCAGTCATATTGTTGACCTAGAAAGTACTGCCCAATACATTTGCTGCACATATGTCTCTTGTTGTCTCTTTTCCCAGACATATCACCTAAGACAAATACACATATTCAGTATATACTTAGGAATATATAGGATGTATATTTAAATATATTTTAGGAAATATATATGTATGTAAACTATATCTCACATTATGTATATTTATGCATATTTATACACAGCTACATATAATTTCCCTTAGAAATTTTTTAGCCATGCCTTTGACTTGTCTAAAACAAATCTTGTTTAGGCACATTAGTTTTTAATGCTTAAGAGAAAAGAATCACTTAAGAATTTTATGAAGTAGAAATTCCTAAACATGAGCGAATCCAATAGATGACTTAGCCAATGGAATTTTCAGTAAGCTGTTGTCACAGAATTTGATTTTCATAAGTCCAGTGACCCAGAACTTATTCAGTCCAGGGAGGAGCATATTTAACAATTGTTCTTAACTGAGCCTCTTGATACCCCCACTTAGCCAGAAAAGAGATAGGGATATATCAATAAGTATATGTTAGAAAGTATAATACTGTTAACTAACTGGAACCCTGGAAGAGTCACCATTTTTAATCAGCCAGTTGTTGACTAGCTAATACTCTTTTGTTCCTGAGCTTTCTGTCTTCAGAGTTTTGTTCTTAAAGTATAATTCAGTTTATGTCTTCTAACAAAGAAGCCCATCACTAAGCAAAATTATGTTTTGAACAAGAAAGAAAATAAATTGTTTATAATCAGCTTACACTAAACTTTTTGAAGTCACCAAGGCTGTTCCCAGTTAAATAATCTACTGTAGGACTTGATTTATAGGTGAAGAGGTAATCATTAAATCAGTGAATGTTTGGTAGATTTGAAAAACCTATATACATCTCAAGACAAATGATTCTAGAATCCCTAAATATTCCAATTTATTAAAATCAGGCAGAAGATATCCCTGTACAGCTAATAGAGTGTATTTAAGTTGAAAGTTCCTTAAGTTTTACCAAAAAGCAGCAGTTGTTCTGTAAATTTGCACTACTATAATTAGAGGATTTTGAGGTAACTGTGAAAAGATGCTAATGTTGGAAGCAAAAAAGACCTCAAAATGTTACAAAACTAGAAATCAAAGTATAGTACTGTGAAGTAATTCATACTGATTTAAAGAAAAAAAGGGGTTTAGAAAGTCTGAAATTTTAGATTTTTTTCTTTGTTTGATTCCATGGAGCAACTATTACATCACTAGTTTTGTTGGCTTTTTATTATTTTTACACATCAAAAAGAATCTTTTCCATTGTTCATCAATGTCTTTTAAATATACAGGATACCATACATTCATATACTTCCTTATTATTCTGTCCATATAAATATTGTAGTTTTTGGCTGGGCACTATGGCATATGTCTGTAATCTCAGCAGCTCTGGAGACTGAGTCAGGAGGATGATGAGTTCAAAGCCAGCCTCAGCAACTTAGTGAGGCCTTAAGCAACTCAGTGAGACCCTCTAAATAAAATGCAAAAATAGTGCTGGGGATGTGGCTCAATTTTTGAGTGCCCCTGGGTTCAATCCCTGCCATGAAGAAAAAAAGTAGTAAATTTTTTTTTTCAGATTTTCACATAAAAGTGTTTGTCCTGTAGAAGTATTTGATAGACTGAAGAAATGGGCAAGACCAATCTGCACTTTTTTATAATGACAGTTGTACACATTTTGAATTGATGAATTAAAGAAAACAACATGTAGTAAATGGAAGTTATTTAAATGCACGCTGATGATGAAAAAATAATAGTAATATTAATAGTAAAAGCTGTTATTATTCACTATGAGTTCAGGGCTTTATGTGCTATCTCATGTAATCCTTCAAATGCCTCAATAATATGGTGCTATTATTATTTTCATTTTATATAAAAGGAAATTTAAAATCATAAAAGTTAAATTTTCTTTCATAATGATAAAGATAAATTTGAAAAAACCTGGGTGAAGGTGATATTTGATAGCAAGTGTTTGCATTACCTGTCATAGATTGATGGTGCATTTCTTAATTTCTTATCTTAAGGAAAACAACCCAGGATAAAAGGTTTAAAAAAATAATAGATATTTACAAATTGGCCTCTCCCAGAAAGTAGCAAACCCCATGGGGTATAGTCCTTTATAACACATGTAAAATGATACATATTTATTTCTAATATTCAGTGGTAGAAATATTAATGCCCTTTAATTGTAGTATATTTTAGTACATTTCAAATAACAATGAATAAAATGAAGGCACAATTTAACAATTAAATATTTTACTGTATAAAAATTATAATAATTTATAAATATTGTTTTGATTTTAATGTGTTATTAATAATTGTTTAAATAAACACATTTTTAAAAAGAGTCAATTTGACTGCATGATATTGATTTCTCTGTTACTATTAGTTCCTCTGGTTCATTATTTTTTCTAAACTTTTGAATACTAGAGTTCTGAATTTTGATCTCTCTCTTGGAGTTCTAATACACATGGCTATCAGCAAAGAGTAGGAAATATATAAGGTCATTTGTACTGTCTCATTTGTACTACTCTGATTAAAATTACTGTCACATTTTTTTGACTTCTATTCATTGGAAATTTCTTTGTAAATGAGTGTAATTAGCTCAATGAAAAAACATGAACCTACTGATAAGTAACATCAATTAAGAATATGCATCTTTGGTTAAGTCATAAATGTGCAGTGATTTAAAAGCCATGCAATTCATCACATTGTCACTTGGTTGTTTCTATTTTATTCTAGATTTGGATGACCCAGTAGTAACTGTTCATCAAAGTATAGGAGAAGCTAAGGAACAGTTTTACTATGAGAGAACTGTGTTCCTCCGGTGTGTTGCCAATTCTAATCCACCTGTTCGGTATAGCTGGAGACGAGGCCAGGAGGTGTTACTACAAGGATCTGACAAAGGAGTTGAAATTTATGAACCCTTCTTTACCCAGGTAAGAATTAAGATACAGTATTTCTACTCACTGTACTAGGACCCTTTCTTAATTCAGGCAGCATGCAATCTTATACCTATTCAAAAGACAGTTTTTCCAAATCTATTCCTTTGAAAACCAATGTATTTGAAAGACCATAAGACAGAAATATGAGTACAACTTGCATTATATACAGTAACTATATTTAAAAGGTCAACTTTTGAAAACTATTTTTTAACTTACTATATTGAAACATAATACTCTTTACCCATAGTATTACCTAGGCTTCATTATAAAATACATAATTGTAAATATTGCTGATTAATTTGGCTCTTATGGAAAATATTTCTTAAAATAAGACATTTTGATTCCCAATTAGCAGTGGTAAACTTTTCAAGGAATTAAAGAATCTATTTAAAATATATTTGGCTTTGGTTTTAGGATAAATCTGTATTTGATTTCTTTCTTCATTTTGTTTTTGATTTAGTTTAGGAATAGAGCCTTAATTATATTAAAAATGAAGTCATTAAAACTTATTTAAGAAAACTTGAATCAATTTTACATAGAGTGAATAGAGTATAAAATACTATATATGTATAATATATGTATCTTAATTATTTTTTCCCTCCTAAGATGACTTTGTTATGCATAACAAGATATAAATCATTTTTATGCTTATTTTTGCTTATTATGCTAGTTTTTTATGTTTGTATATATTTTATACTTAGGTATTATATATTTATTGAACTATTTTTTTTCCCATCAACTGCCATAAATACCTTATAATTTAAAAACTTTCCACGTTAACTTGTTTGTATTAGAACATGTTTTAGTTCATATCTGCTGCTACATATCTGCTGCTACAATAGAATATGATGGACTGGCTAATTTGTAGGTAGACACAACACCATTATTTTATTTTATTTATATGTGGTGCTGAGAATTGAACCCAGGACCTCATATATGCTAGATGCACACTCTACTGTTGAGCCACAACCCCAGCCCCCGAACTGGCTAATTTATAAAGAAAATATATTTATTTTCACAGTCTTAGAGACTGGAAAGTCCAATATCAAGATGCTAGTCTCTGACGAGAGCCTTTTTCCTGTGTGCTAACATGCCAGAGAGGATGAAAGAAAGGTCATTTTTATAACAAAGCAACTTCTACAATAAACTAACTACTCCTGAGATAACATCATTAGTTCACTTATGGGGACCAAGCCCCCACTGCGTAATAACCTCTTAAAGTTCCTCCATTTCTCCAAAATGGCACAGTATCAGTTAGAATTCAACTCAGTTTTGGAGTGGACATTCAAACTATAGCAGAGGACTTCAATAATAATTTATCTTCATGGGTCTGTAGCCTATGTATTCTATCACTTTGTAATGTAAATAATATCTAGTTAAAATATCTGAAATCTACAAAATAAAAAAACTTTGCTTGAAATAAAGAGGTGTTCTATACAAGGCTCCTCCTTTACTAACTTTATTAATATATAAAGTAAAAGAGTGACTATTATATGAAACAAAAACTTTTGTCAAAATAGGGGTACACAATTCTGTGATAGCGAGCATTTCCTAGGAAGTATTAACATCTGCAGGCAATACAGAAGGAAGACAATGACTGTGAGGGCTCACCTATGTGAAAAATGACTGTGGTTGCAGGAACAATAATTGGTACATGCTGAGAACAGTGTGCTATGAAAGTAGGAGGGCATACTGGGACAAAATTGCCTAAGAATTCAGATGGATCACATGGCTGCGTATTCTTTTAATGTTAGAAAATTAAATTTCTTTGAAGGATATTAGATTTTCAATAATAATGCTATTCAATAATAATGTCTTATTTTTAATAAAAAGAGCTTCTAAGACAATGAGATATCTCTATCTTACATGCCCATTCATACTAGGTTAATAACTATATCAATTTGGATTGTATATTTATTTTACAATCCTATTGAGTGACAAAATCTTGTTTATAACTTTTTATAGATAATATTTCCAGAATGAAATTGGTTTGTGTTCCTGAGGCTGATATGAAATCATAATAAGTCTAAAATAAATAATTATGCTTTTCATACCTCTCTATTCACTTAATACTGAGAAACATAGGCAAATATATATTGCTATTTATGTACAAGTTTATAGAATAAATTAGAGTTACAAAAATGAATGTAAAATGGAAGCCTTTATAGTTTTCTAATATCTAAGTATAATTATAAATAACTAAAATAGATATTTTTGAAATTCTAATTTATTTTAAAAGTAGCATGGTATTATTGCTTAAGGTAATGGACAGTATTTAACTATAACAATGGTAACATTGATAAGGTCACTGACTAATATATAGCGTACCTTTACTTATGTATTTTATTTAAAATATAGTTTTAGAAGTTTAAATATACTTGCTACAAATTATTTTGTAATTGTTCATTAAACATACTTAAATATATAAATCACATATTCATTTTCCATTTTTATAACTTTTGTGAAGATGTTCATAACATCTTCTTGTGTATTGTAATTATACCAGCTAATTACATGACTGAACATATTTACATCAATTACATAATTAGTTATAATTAGACTAATTAGACTAATTATATGATTACACAATAATCAACTCAAAATTTTTTTTAAAAAATCATGGAAATTCATATTCAAAAAGATTTCCAACATAACAGAATATCAACTTTATACCATCAACAAAATAATATTAACGTGTGATAAAGCAGGTATAATTGGTAAAGTTTAAATTCTGTATACATATATACATACAAATATATCTAATACATATATATTTATGTATATGTGTATATACAGACCTTCCATTTGACAGAATGTGGATAGACAGATTGACATGTACATACATTTGTATTCTCTGTTATACATTATACATATTAAAAAAAATAATTTTCACTATTTCCTGAATGTGGTGAATTACATGATAAAGTTTAAATTCTTTCATAATTCTGCCTGTAATTATTTATATTTTTTCAGTCCCTCTTGACATGGATAATCTCACTTGGAGACTACTTCACATGGCTTTTGTAGGTCCATGTCTTTTGATACGAAACCTTTTGACTACAAGAGTAATCATCTAAATTCATCCAGAATAGCTTTTTAATTCCATGATAATAGCAGAACCATTGAGAAATAGTGGACCTGGAGTCCACTATTATGGTATCTCTCTTGAATTCCCTTCTCATATGCCCACTTTGCTGCTCTGTTCTAAATATTTAACAAGATATGCATGTGCAAATCACTGTACTTTATTGGGACATAATTGTTGGTCTTGAGGACTGGAAATCATCTCAAATGGTAGCATTAATTCTCATTTTAAGCCTTAAATTCTCAATATTCTTACCAATTTATTTTCTTTCTTTTTGGATGATCTAATTGCCAAAATTATTCCTCATCACAAAGACTCAAGTATACACAATATTTAAAAGATACATCTATTGCAAAAGTGACTTCTGAATTTTAATGAACAAACCTCCATTTCTATTGGATCAGATATACTTGATTATTTTTTATATTTCTCTGGAGATTGCTTTCCATTTGTATTCACTTGTCCATAGTGGTAGTTCAGTTCTTCTATGGATGGTCCATGCCTCAGAACTGTGGTTTTTCATAGTAAGCAGCATATTACTTTAGCCAGAACATATATACCCAATCAATATTTGTTAAATCAATAGTTGATAATAGGCTGAAGCATGTACCATGCCTGTGAGAGTGGAAAGGAAAAGTCATTTGTGAAAGAAAATTGAATAATGAGTCAAAAACACTGTTGTTATTGCATATGGGAATGGAAAGACACCAAAGAGTGAATGATAATATAAATTGTGAGTCTGAATGGGTGGCGGGAAACTATGGTGGTTGCCATTATAAATGTAACAACATCCAAAGAAAAAACTGATGGGAGTTGGCAGGGTCAGCAATGGAATAGGATAATGAACTCACTAAGTTTATATGATTTTGAAAATGCTCATCAGATAGTTATCAGAGAATGTGAGATGAGAGTATGGGTCAGAGTAAGGTAGAAAATGGTGAAGTCATGCACAGAGAGGTGAAAGGAAAACCCAGGAGGGGAAATAAATAAATATATACATATGTATATATTTATTTATTTCCCATATATATATGAAACAAATTCTATTTATTCTTTGTTGGCAAAATATGATGTGTCTTGATTTTTGGAGAAGACTGTGTAGTGGTCGAAAAATAGATTTCAATGAATAGCTTTAAAAAATCACCAAAGGGAATTAAAAAAATGAATAGATTTACTTTAGAGATCAAGAATGAAAAAAAAAAAGAAAATAAACTAAGAGAGAAAAAACACTAGCAAGTATTGCATATAAAAGGAAAGGAAATATTAGGAAAATCAAGAATTATTAATTATAGTACTCGGTGATTTTTCCATATGATATTTTTCTTTTTCAGCAGAGATTTTTCATTTTTCTATGCATAGGTGTTAATTGATAATATGATAAAGCATTGGATTCTATGAGGAGTGTGTTAGATCAAGATTGAAGATTTAAATGTGTATAATAGATAGTGAAATGGAAATCAACCAAGACATGAATAAATTATTGGGATCATAACTGCCTATATATGAAGGGTTGTTATACTAGAAAAGATAATCTAAAATGTTAAACACAAGTAGAGAAATTTGGAAGCATTAAAAAAAGATTTATTGAACTTTGAAAAAGAACATTGGCAATGGCATTACTAGGTTCAGTTATAATGAAGTGTTGGAAAAGTGATATCCATAAAATATAAATTAAGAAAGAATTTGTCAGTGAAAACAGAAACAAGATGTACTATGGAGTATAATTAACTCTATGTTGAGTTTAGTGACTGTATGTTTAATTATACATCTAAATGATAATGTTTATTGTATGTATTTGAGAATCATTACCACTGTATGTTTGCTTCTAGAGTTTGAACTACATATAATAAAATTTCCAGAAATATTAAAGGTTGTTCTTTTCAGAATTCGAAGGAGTAATTATCTATATAATTATATGCAGATATTTAATTGCATATATAGTATAGTATTTTATTACTATCTATATCTGTATGTCATTTATAGTTCTATTGATTTACATTTAAGTTTTATTTCTTGTGGTATGATTCA